CCTACCCATTTCTATGCCCCTGCCCTCCCAATCCCAACTCCCTCAAAAGAATTCTTATTATTAGAGTACTGACTTTCATGGGAGCTAGATTGAGTTGGTGTATAAGGGACATGGGGAGGACAGGATAGAACTTGGATGTGTGAGAAGGAATATAAGGCTGGATTAAAAAAAATACTTTTAGTTCTGTGGCACCATATTCATATTCAGATATTGCTATAGTCAGGTCTGTGTAAAGCCTATTCTACTTAATTACAAGCAGGATTTTTGGTTTGATGGGTGGTGTTAAACAAAAATGTGTCCAGGGTGGTAGTAGGGTGGGAAAGCACAAATACCTCCTGCCTAAATCACTCTCCCTACTACAGTTCTACTGAAAGGCACTTCTTTGGGGTTTTGGGTTTTGTTGGTTTCACCTATCCCTTAGTGGAACAACATCTCTCAGCCTCATAGGGTTGGGTTTTAAAGGCAGTTTAGGACTGCATGGGTTTTCTGTTCCATCTAGCAGACCATATTAGATATGGTTTTACTCCCATCATTAGGAACCTTGTCCTGAAGTCAGTGGAAAGCTCTCTTCTGTCAAGAGTACTTGACTGAGACTTAGAACAGAGTCTGAAGTTTAAAGAAAGAAAACCCTGAAATAATATTGTTGAATTATGGTTACCATAGAATACAGGAAATTCATGACTGAATAATGAAGTCTTTAATTCAATGTGATTATGAATTATTCTACCCTCTGCATCTTGAGCAAGAATGGCAAGACAATGGAAGGACTGGCTCTTGTCACTGAAGGCTCAGCTTTGTACAAAATCCCTGATTTCCCAATTCTGTCATTTTGGACCTGTGTGCAAAATTTTGTTCTCTGCAAGATTTTAACAAACTGAGCTTGAAAAAAACCTGAGATTTTCTTTGTTTAATGAAGAGTATAATTTGTTCCAAGTTCTCCCCCAGATGACCCGAATCTTATCTTCTAACATTACCTTCCACTGTTTCCCAATACAGACCCTCTGCTCCAACCATACATGGCTCAGGATCTCCTAAACACATCTTGTATGTTCTTGCCTCTGTAGCTTACCTTATGCCATTCTCTCCGAAAAATGATATTCTCTTTGCCTATATTGCTCTCCAATTGTTTCTGCCTATCCCAGTCTTACTCATCCATTAAGATCCAGCACAAGGAAAGCCTTCAAGAAGCATTTTCTGTTTTAGCCCATTGGATCTCATCCTTCTTCTAAATTCTTTATATCTCCACCATATCCTTAACACTTTTCCTGATGTGCATACTTTTGCTGTTTGAAATGTTCTTGGACTTTATGAACAATTTCATTATCCCCAATAAACCATAAACACCTTTAAGGCAGTACCTGATATTACAGTTCTTTGATGAAGTAGCTGCTAAACAATTACTTGTTGAATGAATAGGTTGGTAAATCTGGAAACCAGGGACAGACTTTATTTTTAAAGGAAAAAATGTTCTCCTCAGTAAGATGGATATCCAGGAAGAATTTATCACTTGTAACTGATATACCTGGTAGTTTATTCATTCTTTGTCAAATATTTGGCTGGTATCTGCAACTTATCAGGCACTGTGCTAGGCACCAGGGATACTAGATAAAGATGCTGGATTTGCCGTATAGAAACTCACTAAGTAAGTGAGTCAGACATGCAAAAAGGTAAGTACAATTTAGTGCTGTAAGTGTTGTTATACTGGGAGTGCTATGTAGCATAAGAAGTGAATGATTGAAATTGTGGGGAGTCTTAATGTTTTTGCCAGGGAGAAAAGAGGTTGGAGCTGCAGGGATGAGTGAGCAGAGAGGGAACAGGGAGCAGAACAATATGTGTAAAAGCACCAAAGCATATTTAGGGAAAAATGAAAAGCTTAATGTGGCCAGCATATTTGAGAGCTCTAGGTTTAGAGGGAATATAGCATGATAGTAGATGAGATTAAGTAGGTTGGAACCAAGTTGTAAAAAAGCCTTGCATATTATGCTAAGGAGTACAGACCTTCCTCTTTAAGCATGAGGTAACCATTGATAGTTTTTGAATAAGGATATAATGTAATTACATTTGACTAGACTGGTAATTCTGTATGGAGGACAAATGAAATATGATGAGATGGGAATTTTAAAGACTTTCTAATAGTCCATGAGGGATCAAGGACAAGGAAATAGAGATGGTGGCCTTTCTGACCTCTGGTGCTACCCTTCAAATGGTAACTGACTGGAAGTGTAAAATGAAGAAGACATTCTACAGAAGGTCTTCAGAAGGTTTTTAGCCTTGCTAACCTGCCGCACCTCCCTCATGCCCACCACATACACACTCCACACACAGTTGAACATATTAGCTGCCAAGTTATATCTGCATACATTCCCTTATGCAGTAATTATTAATGGAACCCCTACTATGTGAAGCCTTTCTATTTTTCTTCTGATTCTATGATCTAACTTTGACCCAGGGGCCAAATCCAGCCCATTGCATGTTTTATTTATTTTTTTAAAGTTTTATTGGAACATACACCTGCACATTCATTTACATATTCTCTGTGGCTGATTTCACTTTACAGTGGCAGAGTTGAGTAGTTTCAATAGAAACTGTAACCCACAGGCCTGAAATATTTACAGTACTGCCTGGCACTGTACAGAAAATGTTAGCCAATCCATGGTCCAAACTAGTAATTCTTGCTAGTAGAAAGTAGGGAAGAGACTTATAATAGTTTCTAAGGACAGTATATCTTTGCAGAAATTGCCTTACTGATAAGTAATTGAAAATCTAGAGTTACCTTTAGTAGTTGTTACTCTTCAGTGGCTGTAATCCAAAGGAAGAAGGTATAATTAATTAGGGAAAGCTGCTTTGGAAATGTGAATCGAAATTAACTCCTTGGTTGTTGGGACTAGTAATGTTAAAATGATATAGGAGGCTAAAATGTTGGGAAAGCTGCTTTGGAAATGTGAATTGAAATTAACTCCTTGGTTGTTGGGACTAGTAATGTTAAAATGATATAGGAGGCTAAAATGTTGGCCTTGCTGATCTAAGTGCAGAGGTATCTAGAACCGGCTGTACAGCTCTTTGTCATTTCATAAAATGGAAGGAAAAAACCCGGAGCAATATAAGAAACTAGAAGGCTAATGTGGCAGTAAATTGCAGGCCTTTAGGCCAGATAATCCTGTAAAGAGAACAGTTAAGGAATATTGAGGATACACACCTAGAGCCCAAGATCTGCTCCAGATTATATACCATTATATTGGGGACCCATCCCCTCCATACAGCCACTTTAAGACTGTTTTCCTGGTGGTTGGTGTATTGAGGAGTTGAAAGGATGATGGAAGGTTTTGTGAATTAAATCAGTAGGACTTTAGATTCTGGCTGTTGGGCTGATGATTAGGTAGATGGAATATTGGTTTCCCTTCTTTGTTTCAATTTCCATTTGTTCAGTATCTGTAGTAGAAAAGCCCTCTAAGGCAAAATTGGGCAAGAAATATTGTGTATGTGTGTATCCTTAGTTTTAAAAAATCTTTCTTTCCTCCAGGTTATCCTACCTACAAAGAAAAAGTAAAGAAAAGGCCTGGGGGCCGCCCAGAAGTGATTTACAACTATGTCCAAAGACCCTTTATTCGAATGTCCTGGGAGAAGGAAGAAGGAAAGAGTCGGCATGTGGACTTCCAGTGCGTAAAGAGTAAATCTATCACCAACCTTGCTGCAGCTGCCGCAGACATTCCCCAGGATCAGCTGGTAGTTATGCACCCAACTCCACAAGTGGATGAGTTGGATATTCTCCCTATCCATCCCCCTTCTGGCAACAATGACCTCGATCCTGATGCACAGAATCCAATGCTGTGATGCTAATGTTCCTTGAAACCATAGCATGCTACTCTCCTCACAGTGATGTTGTACTCTCCTCATTCTGCACTGCAAGGCCACTCTTCTTCATTGTGAGATGCACATAACAATGTTTAGGATATTGCAGTGTAGGCTTTTTTAAAGACCAAAGGTAGCTGAATGGTTTTTTAAATGAGTACAACTCTAGCATCCTGAGGTTCCAGTTATATTAAATGTATTTGTTTACTGTTAGGTTTGTGAAATTGGTTCTTTGTATGGGGGACAGTCCTTTTTCATACATCTAGGTCTTTTCAGAAGAGGTGGAAATTGGCAGCTGGGGTACTATTCAGTCTACATTGATATTTTTCACACCCCAGATAAAATGCAGAATGTTATATAGTTGCACTTTATAAATAGTGGTTAAATGGAACTGGTCAAGCCATTTTATGGTTGTGATGCACTTAAATAAGTGCTTCTATCAGAGTATTCCTTCAGTAAAATGTGTATAGTTTGCCGCCCATAATGAGCAAAAAATGAGTATTTATCTTTTGGGGTTTATTTGAATGATTAGGATGAAATTCAATGCCCATATTTTACCAGTTCAGTTATTTCCAGTGCCGTTTTCACCCTTTTAGAGTGAGTCATATGCAGGGAGTGTGAACATCAGAGGTGGTTTATTATCCAGTCTGCCTTACCCTTAATCTGTTCACAGATATTTATTTACTAATGCTTTTTTTCTTAAGAGTTATGAGATAGGAAAATGAAGTGTTTGCTCTTCATTTACTAAATGATTGTAAACTCGAGTTTTTCATCAAAATAAAATTCCATTGTTTTAATGTTTCTGACCAACTTTATAACCACCTTGACCAGATTTTTAGTCCCAGACATAATTAGCAGATTTCCTGTCTTGTTGAACTAACTAAAAATCAGATAGCTTAAGGAAGTCTAATTTGGTATATGTGTGATGTGGCACTTAAATTCCCTACTAATTATAAAATACAAGGGTACTTCAAAAAGTTCATGGAAAAATAGAATTAAAAGATAATATGTTTCCATGAACTTTTTGAAGACCCCCCCATATACTATAAATTCAAAACAATATTAGAGCTGAAAAGAGGGTATTATTTTCTAGTTCAATCTGATGTGAAGGGTGAAATGACTTTCCCAGGTCATGTAGTAACCCTAAGTTTCAGAACCAGTTTCTGACACTAGTTCAGTGCTTTTTCCATTATACTGTGCTGCTATGCTTAGCAAATTATTCATGCAAATGCTATTTTAAATATTCTGTGGCCCAATTCAAGAAGGAATGAGAAATATTTAGGTGGTTTGGGTCTGGAGACACTTCGTTTGAAGCCAGACAACTACAAGAAGTAGTAGATAGGGGGCAGTAGAGAAGCCAATTTGTTACATCTACTCTTGAATTTATCATTTCAGAAGATTTGAAATTTGTGTGTAAGCAATAACATCTTTGTTGTCACAAATTAAAATTGCAACAATTTGGAAACTGTTTTAATAGTACAGCTAAGCTAACTGCATGGGGAAATTATGCAAGTCCCAGAATTGTTGTGAAGGCCAGAAAGGCACTGCAAATGTTATTGGCATGGATGATCCTAACATACCCACTGTAGAAACTGGCAATACCAGACCTATAACAGCATGTAGGATTTTTTTTTTCCTAATTAGATGAAATGGGAACACTATTTATAGAACAAGGGAAACATTTATTAAAAATATTTAACTGTCTAATACATTATACTTTAACCCATATTTATAGTAAAGGATTCTTACAAGGAAGAATAAACGGCTTTATGATACAATTAGTATAAGAAATATCCACATGGGGGACTTCTTTGTAGTGTAAAAACACCATACATCTGAAATGACCATTTGCATATAAAAGCTACCAATGATGCTTCTGTGCACAATGATTAAAAAATTCAACACAAACAGAATCCAAAATATACAATTAATGCAAGCTATTCACAGCTAGCCCAATAATCAATGATGAGGAAACACTGGAGCAGGCTTAGTTCCACTTTGTCTGAAGTTACACATAGTAAGATTGACTTGTATCAATGGCTCTGAGATGGCTTTTATGAAGTCCATACATAAAAGCTATTCTCTCCTTATCCAGTAAGCTTCACAGACTGTAAAACTCCACCAGTAATGCACTTTGATACTGTAGCTGTTGCCAAAGCAACATTTAGTGTTTACAGCGGCCATGGCAAGTCGCTAAAGTCAACAGGACCACCTAGCCCAGCATCTGCTTCCAGGAGGCTCATGATGACAGCCATTGCTGCTTCATCGTTACTGGGACTACTTGATCCTTGGTCGTTGTCTATCATGTCTATACCTATGTGGGGATTCTCACCTGTGGAAGGAGATAAAGATTGATCACTGATAAAAAATACAAAAGCTTATTTAGATTTAGTAAGCAGTTCCTAAGCACACTTTTAATAAAGTGATATTTAATAGCAGGCTGACAAAGACTGCTTTTTCAGCTGCACTGCCATAATTAATTTTTTTTTTATGTTGCTGTTTTTCAGAGGAAAGAACCAACTTTTTAGAAATAAGAACAAGGTGCAATAAAATTCAATAAATGTTAAAAGTATTTGAGTTGACCTCATCTTAATCAGATATAACCAGTTAAGAGGAGGAAGTTATAGAAAGAAAGGAAAATAGGAAGGGAGAAGTTAGGAAAGAAAGATCTAGAAAGACGAGTAAAAAAATGATAGATGGGATGGGAGAAGCAAACGCTCATCATTTAATGACATTTGGTGCTCTCTGAATGCTTACTGATCACCCTTCTAGGCTTTATCTGTGAACCTTCATTGGCTCTACCTCTGAAGAGACTGTGCCTATGTCTAGGCTGCTCTAGCCTCCTCTTGAGTTCCAGGGACAAACTTAGAAGTAAGTAAGTAAATAAATAAATAAAATACTAGAAGTAAATCTCTCATCCCCAAAACCCAAACGTTGAAGTCATCTTTGAAGCAAAGACTTAAATAAGTTTTTAACTTTTACTTTGTTCTTGTCAAATTGTTTTATACAATTCAGTTCTTAAAACTAATTTTATGCCAGATGTTTTGCAAGCTCACTGCAGTGGGAATGAATAATAATGCCACTTACCAAGAATAGAAGAACTGTCAGAATATGGATAACCTGGGTTCTCCTGAGCCTGCCCTGGTAGTAGGCCACTGGAAGGAATGTCTGGAGTCCCTCCATTTAAAATCTATAAACAAAAGGAGAAAAGTGTGAATTTTCAATTAGTTATGTGCAGTGTCACCAAGAAAATGAAGCATGTTGGAAAAAGAAGGAGGTGGGGCACTTCAAATGGCTTCAGTTTCCTATTGGATGATTTCATACAAGGAACTATTAGGAGTGGTCATAGCAAGAAAAAACCTCTTCCCCAAACTATTCTTTTCTCATTTGATTCAGTCCATACAGGCAACTTAAAGTTTGAATAAAATCCCTAGAACATTCAACTCCCTGGGATCATGCTGCTCACATATTTCTTTAAGCCCAAGGCCTAAACTTCAATGAGCCTAGCTGGGCATTTCCTCTATAAGGGAGTAAAATATCTTATAGCAGTAGATGGTGCTGAAGAAGAAATAAATTGGGTTGTTAATAAGCTGTGAAGAGACTCTAAGAAGTCACAAATGAACAAAAAACACTAGAAGTAAATCTCTCATCACTAGGTATACGTAGATGGTGCTGAAGAAGAAATAAATTGGGTTGTTAATAAGCTGTGAAGAGACAACTCTAAGAAGTCACAAATGAACAAAAAACACTAGAAGTAAATCTCTCATCACTAGGTATACTACAGGTGCCAGCTTCAGTAACCTGTGGCTTAAGTTCTTGAAAATAGGCTGCTGAGGAGCATGATTACTACTCCTCAATAGCAGAATTCTAAATTTGTCTCAAAATCTGTGCCTCTCCACCTTCCCCTGACCTCAAGCTTCCTTCCGCTGGCTGAGTCTCATAGAGGAGCATCCTTTGAGAAGTATTTTGATATATAGGTAAGGAAGCAGTTTGGGAGCTGCTGGATTTCAGGAGAACCAGGGATTTCAGGCTTACCATAGGTAGCATTATAACTTTATCTCCACAGTTCAACTTTTTGGTCTAGGGACCACTTTACATTCTTAAAAAGTTATTGACGACTCCAAAGAACTTTTTTTTATGTAGGCTATATTTACCGATATTTACTATAAACATTTAATGAAAAATAACTGTTTTCCAAAACAGCAACAAAAAAAGTCAGTGAAAAGAGTGTCATCCTGGGCCGGCCCGGTGGCGCACTGCTACAGTGCGCCGCTTGGGAGCGCGGCGGCGCTCCTGCCGAGGGTTCGGATCCCACATACAGACCGGCCGCTCACTGGCTGAGCGAGGGGCGGATGCAGCACCGAGGGTTGCGATCCCGTTGCTGGTCCCGGTCCGGTACGGGCGTGACACTGAGGGTTGCGGTCCGTTGCCGGACACGAAAAAAGACAAAAAGGAAAAAAAAAAAGAGTGTCATCCTTTTACATTTTTGCAAATCTAATAGCTGGCTGAATAGATTTCAACAGGATTCTCATATCTGCTTCTCCATGCAGCCTGTTTAGATATGTTGTTTGATTGAAGTATATGAAGGAAGTCCAACCTCCCACAGATATGTAGTCGGAAAAGGGAGGCATATTTTAATAGCCTTTTCAAATAATTGTAGTATTTTTCTTTGATATTACATCAAAACTTGACAAGTGGAAGTTTCTTAAAGGATAGTTGCAAAGTGGAATCTGAAACCATATCAATGAATTAAAATCCATTGACACTTACGATGGATCTTTTTTACCCTTGAGTGATTTTGAAAAATCTTGCATTGGTCATTTAGAAAATCGGTATACTGAGTAATGCAGATCTTCCAAATGTTGATATACTTCATTATGCATCATCAAAACATCATCATTGTTAATACCACCTATCTTATCAGAAATATCTTTTAGGTTTTGGGAAGCTGTCAAGCTCAATGTAACAGATACAAGTTTTCTAAAAATTCCAATTTTTGCATGAAAACTCAAATTTTGTCAATGACAACAAATAACTGTCAGTTGTTTTCCCTGAAGAGACAGGTTTACTTCATTCATTTTCAAGAAAATCTATACTGAATATCCAAGTGTTAATAACCATAGTTTGCTACAGTAGAAATGGTGTCCTATGGAAAAAGCAGCTAGTTCAGTTCACAACATAAACAACTGCACAAGCGCTTGTTCTTGAGACAACCATCAGTTTGCAGCACAAGCACTTTATGCATACTTCTCATTTTGTTACACAGAGTATTAAAAAGATGTGTACCCAAGGATTTTACAAAAGTAATAATTTTTATTGCTTCAGTAAGGATATTAAATGAAACTGGCTTTTAAGTTATTTATTTATTTTTAAAATTACGAATGTGTGGTGGTGACAAAAACAATGACTACTAGTACAGTTTGGTGCCACAGCTCTGATTTTGCAAAAGCACCAGCACTATCACCCAGCATTGCTTTTGCACTACCAATGCACATATTAATGCAGTAGGAAAAATAAAACGTTTTAGCATTATTATGAAAATAGCTTTGACCTTGCAGACTCTTGAAAGGGTCTTGGGCCCCCGAAGATCACAGATGACATTTGTACAACTGCTGCTTTATTTGAACTTGCCTTAGTGCCTCTGGATGTCCATATTATCCTTGAACCTATAGAGGCTCACTACCTCCCTTTTCAACTTGATCCTGACTGAAACAACTATAGGCTAAGTGGTTCATTTTTGGACCTGCCATATTTGAAAGTGATTGGGAAGGGTTGGGAGCATGGGGCCACCTTTACTCTTGTCAGTCTGG